GTTCAGCCTTCCGAGGGCGAGGGCGCTGGGGAGTCACTTTTGCGCGAGGCGGTTGCATTTTTTGTTTTCCTTCTAAGACGTTGCTTGCGTGCGCGTGCGCAGACTTGCAGTTTTCCCTTTGTACCATAAGGTCCCTTTTGATGGTACGAGCGCATTGACCCGTACTTGTCTTCGCACCGCCGTTCGGAGCGCGTGTCTCGCGTGGACAATTCTTCGCAGAACGAGCGAGCGCCCGAATCGCCAGCTGGCCCTGTCGTTGTTTTCTTCAAATTTTCTGAATGCTGCCACGGTCAATCGTCCGAGTCGAACGAGCTTTACTGATTCCAATCGCTGCAGACCCCATCCCTGGCGGGCACGGCTAAGCGGGCTCATCGGTCCACTGCGATGTCCCCGAGTGCGCTGTGTAGGCGCTGCGTCTCCCAGAATGTTGTGCACCTGTAACAAAATCACTCGTTGCCCTTGTTTGAATTACCTCTTTCCATCCTATTGTGCGCCCCCTATATCAGCTTCGACGTCGCGAAGATGGTCTAACTGCGCCCTGAACAGAGACTCAAAAATGGAAGACCCGGGAACGGTTTTCATCCCGGCGAACGTGCAGCCCCGATCCTCAACCAACTGGCTGCGACTGTCGCCTTGAATTCTCACAGCATTGAGGTGGGCCATGTCAAAGACGGAGCCATCTGCTTGTGTAATCTTGTGCCAATCCAGGACCATGAGCAATCTGTGGCCCTTCAACCCACGATCATGAAACAAGATCAGTCGCCCTTGACCGGGCCGGCAATTGGTCTTAGCCTCCTCCTTCCGCGTGTCGGCTCTCCTCTTGAGGTCGTCGCTTCTCGCAATGTAGCTGCCAGCCGTGGCGACCTACATATCCAGTGACTCGAATCCGCCGCTGCCAATTTGTCTGGTCTGCCAACGCAGAGCACGTCGCCCGGTGCATCTCCTGTTTCCCGTCTCGAATGTACGGCGCAGCAGGCAGGATTCGGCATTCAACCTTGTCGGTGTCTTTTCTACGTCGTATGGTTCAGCAGAATCTGGACTGACTGCATCGACGGCGGCGCGCTGCCTTTCGTTGTTTGGAGATCCACCACCCGTGCTGTGAGGTCTCTCCGGAAGAAGAGGGGTGGGTGCGCTTTACGGGCTCACGGGGCCGCTCCTGGATCGGAAACTGTCGCTGGCCAGGGGCATGGTATCAGGGCGCGGCGTAACCGTCATGGCCCTGCTGACTTGCAGGCACCTGATTCTGATACCGGCCACGTAATGCTCGAGGTGGATTGTTCACCCGCTGTTTTCCACATATTTAGCTGAAGGGTGCGGTGAGCCGGTACACCGCGTGCGAAGCAGTGGGTCGCCCGCTCTGCGGCTACTTGCGCGCAAGGGGGCACGAAGACGCTCTGCGTCGGTGCAATCGGCGACCCGGCCCCAGCGACTGTCCACTCCGAAAATGTCTCGAGTTTTGCGGCGGCATGGACATGGGTTGTGGCGGCCTCGTTGCTGGGCTCACGTGCCTCGTGACAAGTGGCAACTGTCTAGCAGACATCGCCGAGAACCGTCTCTCCGCATCTTTGCTGCTATCTCTCACGTTCACATTCAAAGACCGTTTCATTCCTGATCCTATCCATGGTGAAAGCGTGCATGGCAACACTGTTCTGGATTTGGTCGTTTTTGTCGGCAGCTGGATGCTCGTATGCCTCGGGCCTTTGGTACGTCTCTGACCTATTTCTCAAGGTATACTGGCACAACTTCGTGCGCACAAAGCACGTCGTGGACTGTAGAAACTTGACCCGTGCTGTTCAGCTGCTCTTGGGGAACGGCGTGGCTATTCATCATGCCGCTCACGGTGGTAACGATGTCTGCCATTTGGCTTTTGATCTTCTCCAGATCTGCTTTTTGGCGACCCGTTGCGGTCTCAGAGCTCAGACTGTCGTCTGGAGTTGTTGCAGCAGGTCATCGCGCTGCTGATTGATGAGGGTGTTGCGCTGCTGCTACGCTCCAACAGCCATGAGTCGTTGGCCCATCGCTTTCCGTTGCTCGTGAAGGTAATCGTCTCTGCTCTGTTTTTGTAGTTGTTCCTTTCCACGATTTCTGGTGCTCTGAACCACCAGGACTTCAACATTAGCACGAACGTCAGAATCGATGGCTGGTCGGACTGCTTGTGGTTGGTTCGCCAGTTCGGCCATTGGTCGAACTTCTCCGGCGCTCGTCATTTGCTGCGTACTCAAGGCATGTACCGCGAAAGGCTAGGAGAGTTCCTCTCTCTCTCTTGAAGAGCACGTCGTTGCTGATCGAGCTGTTCCTCCAGTGCCATTTGCACATGAAGCACGTCGCTCGGCAGCACGGGGGCGTCCGTTCGACACTTTTGTTTTCTGAAGTCCAGGAGGCCGTCGAGAACTTTGTCTCGGTTGCGGCTGCGCGTTCTGGCTTTGTCGGCCTGTCACGGTAACTCTGCTCCGTTCTGGAACGCGACCGTGGGGACAAAACGCGTTGGCGAAGGATGGCTCCTCCGGCGTTTCTCCTGGACGCGTCAGGCTCTCCGGCTGCAGCAGTCTGCCCCCGGTGCGTCGCCGGTAGCCGGTACAGAAGTTGGACTGACCTGAGGAACGATAAATAAGGAACGAAGCCCTTGTTTTTCCCAAGTGAGTCTACGAAGTTCGAAGGAACGCCAGGGGGACTCGCAGGCCAAAAAGGTAGCGGAACGCATGCGGGCCAAAGGAACGACCTTTGCCCCTCTTGAAAATCAAGTGTTCCTCATTCGAGCCGGACCCTGCAGTGCCGCGTTGTGCCCTTGCGCGACGCCCCAGTGGCGCCAGGTCGCCCCGGCGCGGGGGCCCCGCTGTCGGAGGCGCTCGCGGGCGTCGGGGCTTCGACGTTGGAGGCGAGCCGCCCCCAGGCCGTGGTGGCCGTGCTCGCGTGGGCAAGGCATGGCCGTCAGCGCCCCCCTTTTCGCCCTCGAGTGTGGTATCTCGGAGATGCTGGGCTCGATGTTCGCCTTCGAGCGTTTTCGGCGGCGGACAAACCTCCCTTTCGTAAACCTCTCTTTCAGTGACAACGGCCCAAGACCAAAACCGACGGACCTGAACCCGCAAGAATGGCGGCCGCGGCGCCCTCTCGCGAATCGAAAAGGCCAATCCGCTAATCGACGTGTCAGGGTAGGAGGTTTACCAACCTCCGAGCGTTTCCGAAGTGTCCGCGTTCGTGTGCGGTGCAGGCGGCGCCGTTTCGGCAGATCGTCTGTGGTGCCTAGCGGCGCCACTTCGCTCGAAATCCTGTGTTGCGCAGGTGCGGCGCTGGCGGCACCGCTCAGGCTGATTGGTCTGGCGGCACCACTTCGGCAGAGAACCTTTGCTTGCAAAAGTGCGGTGCTAGTGGCACCGCTTCGGTTGACAACCTACGTTCGGGGTAAATTCAGCCACTGGGCCGCGTTCTCCTTCCCTTTCGGAAGGTTTTCGGGGCCCTTGTCGCCTACGAAGACAGCCACGCTCCCACTCATAATTTCGAGCATACGTCCAACCGTGGTTGCGAGGACGACCCAAAAAGGAGGAGCAACACTCACACCGTTTGCAATTGATCCGCACGATCGGGGGGGGGGGGCGGAGCGGGGGGAGGCCCAAAACAAGGCCCGCGACCCCCCGAAACTCAAAAGGTGTTACCGCAAAAATGAAACGTGCGCTGGAAACAAGGAGTAAAGCACACCTCCTCCTCCTCCTCCTCCTCCCCCTCCTATTCCCTTTCCTCCTCCTCCTTCGTCCTCCCCCTTTTGGGTATCACGCCTCGCCTTACCAGCTGTTGCACTTCATGCTCCTCCACATCCCTGATCAGGGCAACTCGCCTGAGCATCGTTTCTGGATAGGCTGGCGGGGTTGCGCGAAGCGCCTAGAATAAAGGTGTGCCTGCACGGTGCGCACATGCATCCACGGGCAGGTGTTCTGCCACATCGGCAATCCCTGCAGCGGTTCAAGACCAAGTGTTGAAGCGCAAAACGATCGGCGATTTTTTTGCGATGTCACGCGAAGAATATCGATGCAATATGATACACCTCCCACGCACTGCGAATGCCCCACTATTTCGTCCAACGCCAAGCTGCACGACTGCACACACGCTCAGTACAGACTGCCGAACAATGCCGAGAGCCCCTCCATGCGAGCAGTTCATGCCGTGCTTGCTGGGGTCCATGTGGATGCCAGACCTGGAAAGATCCCCACGGCATAAATGCTAGTATCGCATGGAGACAGCACACAAACAAATTATATGACCTAGGGGCGGGAGAACAGGCGGCAGCAAGGGGGGGGGAGGTAGCCAAGGCGCTCGCGGAGCGTGGTCAGTGCTTATATCCCTGCGGCGGAGTGCAGGCCTGGACCCCACCTTCACACCCCATCGTCGGCGGGAGCTCGGTGCCCATCCTCATCTCCGAAGCCCAGGCCGCGCCAGTCTGGCGCTTTCCCCTCCCCCATTCGTCGAATCCCCCCTGCCACCCCCACCCACCGCTCCACACACGCGAAGCAAGCCCCGCCAGCGGCCGCGGTCTCCCTGTGGTCGCCTCCGACCGAGGATGGCGGTCGCATGAGCAGGAGGTGAGGAAACGTTAGCATTAGGTCGGGCATGTCCTCCTACAGACGGATTAGGGCTGAAAAGCTTAAGATAATCAATAAACAATCAAACACAATCAAAACAAGCACGAATCCAACCGTCACCATAATACGTTCAACCACTCTTGATTATCCCTCCTGTAGAGGGACATGCCCGATTTAGCAGTAGAGCGCGAAGAAACTAAAAACACATACGCAAACATTCGCATGCGGGCACATGCGTGGGCCACTTGCTGTATACACACGCGCCGATGGCTGTCGTACCCAGCCACATCGGGGCCAAGCGCAAGAGAGGCGTACAAGCATCATGTGAATCTTGCGCTCGCCCAAGCAGCTGCTTCTTGGCAGGCCGCATAAGGGATCAGGATGGACCCTGGTCCTGGACCCATGGAATAACTCTTCATCCTGGGTTGCCTTTGACGGCCCTGGGGCCCAGGAAGGGTCTCAAGCAATCCGAAAACGGCGAGCATCCTGGAGCGAATCTCCTGCTCATGCTGAAGCCTCCTGGCGAGCAGTTTCTTGGGGCAAAGGCTCGTCTCCGGCTGGCGCGTACCACCAGAACACCGAGTCGGGGCCCAGGTGCAACGTCGCGCCCAGCGGCAGCGCCTTCTGGGGTGCGAGGGAGAGGGTGGCCAGGAAGTGGGCCAAGAACATGGGTGGGGGTAGCGCACGATGGCCGGCTCGGCGCGGCCGCGGGGGGGGGGTACGGGACGTGCTGCAAGAAGACATTTATTGTGTTCCGGGCAGCATATGTTAAAAGAACTCCCACTATACATTAATCACGAATAAGCATACGCACGCTACGGATTATAACAATAACACAACAAACAACTAATACTGAGAATAACGCCGGAGTGATAACCACCCTACCTGGTATCTCACAGAAATATCAACCTGTCGAAGAACTGACGGGGCCAACCCTCCGGCCAACCCCGACAAAACCCTGTGGCCAACCCTGGCTGACCATTGCACACCCTCCCGGCCAACCCCTCCATAGCAAGCCCTGGTTAGGGCAATTCTTCCTATAAACTCTGGTCGCCCCAACCTCTGGGAGAACAAACATGGACAGATACCACCCCTATCCGACCTGGAAGTTCGAGGGGAAGCTAGCTGTGCCGACGAGAGCGGCCCAGGACGAGCAGTGGCACCGGTACTGGTCCTCCCCCGAACTCCCTCTTCTCGGCTACACGCGAGAGTGGCCCCAGGCAAGACTGACCTCTGGTGCGCGCCGTTTGAGGAGCCGGCGGGGGGCCAAACCCAAGCGCTCAAGACGCAACTGTCGCAGAGGAGGAGGAGGCGGGGGAGGAGGAGGAGGAGGAGGAGGAGGAGGAGGATGAGGAGGAGGAGGAGAGGGAGGAGGAGGAGGAGGAGGAGGAGGCGGAGGAGGAGGAGGAGGAGGAGGAGGAGGAGGAGGAGGAGGAGGAGGAGAGGGAGGAGGAGGAGGAGGAGGAGAGGAGGAGGAGGAGGAGGAGGAGGAGGAGGAGGAGGAGGAGGAGGAGGAGGAGGAGGAGGAGGAGGAGGAGGAGGAGGAGGAGGAGTAGGACGCGTTCGGCGATCGGGGGGCACCGAGGATCATCCGCACCAAGAGGTCACTCTCGCGCGCGGCCGCTCGGCGACGCCCCCGCGCGCCTGGTGGGCCGCCTGGATGACGCCGGGGAAGTCGCGGCAGTAGTCGTGGCCCGCGACGACGCCCCCGGCGCGCACCTTTCGGGGGGGCCACATGCGAACCTACCCCTGCCCCCCACAGTTTCTGAGGGGGAGGGCGGGGTTCCCTCCGCTCGGGAGCTCCCGCACGGAGTGCACCCCACCCTCCTCCTCAGAAATCGTGGGAGGTAGGGGTAGGGTTCGCATGTGGCCCCCTAACCTTGGGCGCCCAGGCGGCCAGGTCCGCGGCGGCCGCGTCCTCTTCAGCCCGCCCGACGAGGCGGACTGGTGCAAAGCGTGTGCAGGGTGTCCCTAAGGCCCTCTCTGGGCTCTGCACGGGCCGGGCTCCGGGACCTTCCGAAGACGACTCAGCACGAAAAGCTGGTCCTGGGGGAAGGTCCAGCTTGCTCGAGGAGGAGGAGGAGGAGGAGAGATGTCTGCCCTCCCCCTCCCCCCTCCCCCCCCCCTCCCCCCTCCTCTCCTCCCCCTCCTCCTCCTCCTCCTCCCTCCTCCTTCTCCTCCTCCTCCTCCTCCTCCTCCTCCTCGGGTCCTGGCTACAGATCCCTCAAGACCCGTCTGCGTCGCGCCTCTCGTAAGAATCTCGCGCCCACTGGGAGGCAACCGAGGCCATCTCGGGCAGACGTGGTGGCGACTGCGACCGTGGACCGGAAAGCCGACGGGACACATAGTTGACGAGCGCTTCCGCGGGGGGGGGCGGGCCGCGCAGAAGGCCACCTGGAACCCTCCAGAAGGATCCGAAGACCTTGAACATCTGGCACGGCATGCACCCCTTCCGCAGGCTGCGGGGGCGGCGCAATATTCCCCGGCAGCTCCTCGACGGGTGTCCGCGTCGTGTCAAAAAGGGTAGGGCCGGGATGGCGGTTTTCTACTCCGACCGTCGGGGAGGGCTGACAAGTAGCACCAGGGCATCTGAATGTACAGTCGAACCTAAGACAGAAGAACATCCTTCAAGAACATAGGACCCTCCGCCGGCCCAAAGACCCCAAACCATGAGATGACTCGAGGGTGCCCTACCCCAAGATGCACGAGAACATCCAACAAACACGAAGACCATGAGGGTACCTTCCCCGAACCGACCTTGATCTTGTACCTCGGTCCGACCGTAGCACCAAAGCATCTGAATGTAAGGCCTTTGGGGGGACCAAAAAAGTACCGATACCGCCACTCCCAGGACCTCTCCTGGGGTTCGTTCTGAAAGGATTTCGAGACGAATTCCGCGGTGGCGACAAAGGTCTCCCAGGAGGTCCAACAGGGGGAAACAAAAAAATAAGGACGGGAAGCGGAATGGCTACCTTTTCCTTCTCCAAGCCTTCTGCCCCGAGCTCCCAGGAGGGCTCACAAAGATAGCACCAGGGCCTCTGGGTACATAGAAAGTTCAGGCCGATGCCTTGAGCACAATCATGGCAGGTCTGCAGGTCTGGAGGGCTCTTTTCCTTGGAGCGTTCATGCTTAAATGCCCTCCTGCCCCGTGGGCAGAGGGTGCACGTTATGCTGCTGCCCTTTTCCCTGGAGGGCTGTGCTGGCCCCCGCCAGAAATCCTCGCGCTATCGCAAAAGCCCCCCCACTCTCTCCTGCCTTCCAGAGCCATCTCTTCGAAAGCGAATGCGATGCCCACCAGCAAGTGTTGTCCGAAACCGACGGCGGCCGCTGTCGGGCAGGCGACATTGTGCCTCAAGTGGGCTACGTCCGCGGCAACACCGACAACGATCCCAGATCACTACGCACAGGAACTGCTGCTGGTCTTCCACGCCGCTGGTTCCGTCCCCATGTCGATCCTACCGCTTCAGCGAGATACACATTACCTTTCGGGTAAACGCACGGATTTTCTTGGATCGGCGCTGGAGCCCCCTGGCGCCGCCTTCGGCCGCCACTGGCGCGCTCCGCGCGCCAGGGAGGGTGGTGACGAGGCTGAGGATCAGGAAGATGCCGAGGATGAGGGCGACGCGAATGGCGGATCGAGGGAGATCGAGGGGTCGAGAGGTGGAGGATCCGGGGATGGAGGGATCGATGGGGTTGAGGATCGCGTCCTCGGCGTGGTTGGCGTCGACGAAGACCAGGTCGAAATGGCCGGGGCCCCAATGCTTCGCGGCGGCCGCCGAGTCGGCCACCACAAGCCGGGCCCGCGAGCCCAGCCTGGGGCATTGCTCAAACGGGGCGGGCGATGAGTGAGCGACAATCAAAAGCGGGCTTGCGCGAGATGGCGCAGCGCTGAACCTTAACGGTGTTTTTCGTTTTCGTTTTGTTTTCGTTGTCCCTCGCTTTTGTCTCGACTCCGCCTGTAACACAAGACGAAGTCGGAACGAAAACGGCCCACGAAATCACCAAAAACACCGCTTAGGTCCAGCCCTGAGATGGCACAACGACCATATGCTGTGGCTTACGCGGGCCACAGGCGCGGCACGCCACACTGAAGGCAAATGAGCTTACGCGCGACCTTACGCGGGCAGCTTGCGCGCCAGTGTCGGTGCAGGGGACCCCGATGTTTTGCGTCGCCCAAGCGGGAGGTGAAACGTGCACCTTTCGTGCCACTTTTGGGCCCCGGGGGGGACCTCCCTGGGGCCCCTTTAGGGCACAACAGGAGCACATGTCTTCCCCCCCCCCCCCCCCCCCCCAAATCCTCGCCCCCCCCTTACGCAGCGCCCGACAGCCACGGCCGCAGGCGCCGCCGGGCCGCCACGAAGGTGTGCCCGCTGTCGGGGTAGTCGTGGTCCACGTCCACGTAGAAATCGGGAGGCCCCCCCAGCTAGAGGAACAAAACGCGGCGCAAACTTAAACTGTTGGAGGTCCGCGCGGATTTCTTGGATCGGCGCTGGGCCCCCCTAGCAGCGCCTCCAGCGCCGCCCCTGGCGCGCTCCGCGCGCCAGAGACGGATGTCCAGCGCCGATCCAAGAAGCTAGCGCAGAACTTCAGAGTTGTAGCGTTTGTGTCGTTGCTGGCTCCCCGGACCCACCAGGAGGAAGAGCGTCAGGGATGGGGGGGAGGGGCTCGGCTCAGGGGGTGGAGACGTCGACCTGGAATCGGCGAGGCATCGCCGACACATCGGCAGTACAGTCATCGGCCTGACCTAAGGAACGATAGATAAGGAACGAAGTCCCTTTCTCCTCAGGAATAACGCATAAGGAACGACGAACAAATAATAAATCACGCATAGGGAGCGATACATAACGCCTGCAAGCCTGAGGAACGACCGAGCCCCTTTTGAAAAGTAAGTGTTCCTTATTCAGGCCGCTCACTGCAGGCCCCCGGCAGCGAGTCCGAGCGCTTCAGGGCGGGGGCTGTGTGTGCTGTGAGGCTCCCACCGGCGAGGCGTGTGGGCGGCTTGGGGGTCGTTGCGTCGCCGCCCGGGCCTACCCTCCCCCAAACGCTGCCCCCGACACTACAGTCGGGGCGTTGACCTAAGGAACCCTAAATAAGGAACGATGCCCCTTTTCTCTACACATTGAGCTTCGATTTCCCATGGAAAGCCTACGAAAAACCTAAGGCAAACTGCGAAACAACTAGGGAACACGGAGCCCCTCCCCAACGAGAAGGGTTCCTTCTTCAGGGCCCCGACTGTAAGAGCTGCGCATTCGGCCGTGGGCCCTTTGTTGGCCATTGGTCTCGGGCGGCCTTCTGGCGGTCTCCTGGCAGCCTTCGGCGCGGAAGCTGGCTGTTCACGTCCAGCATGAGCTCCAGGATCGGACACTTAACACAAAGATCCCAAGGAAGGGCCCCAAGAGGGAGCCGGCGAGGGACCCCCAGAAGACGCCGGAGAGGGCCCACAGAGAGAGGCCATGCGAAGGTCCCCCGGAAGAGCGGGTCGGACAAAGGGAGAATTGAGTCAAGGTGGATTGTCGAGTAGGGGATCGACTCCAAAATTCATTTACTCCATTGACTGTCTTGGCGGACGTACGAAGTACGTTTAATGCCAGAGGGTCTACGAACAGTCTATAAATTTGTCGCAGAGTCAATGAACTTATCAGGTTTGGGGTAGATCAGTTCTGCAGTCGATCCCCCACTCGAGGACTGGTAGATCAGCTTAATTAGCTGGCTCTGCTGGAGCGCCCTGGCGCTGGAGGCGCCCACGCGCATCGAGGAGAGCGCTCGGGTCGGTGCCGGACCCCTCTCTCCAAAGACCCTTTTTCTTTTTTGAACTTTGGGGCCAACGATTTTTTTGACCACAGGTTTCTTTTTTGGGGGGGGGCGGGGGGGGGGGGACACGCGGCGAGAGTCAAGAGGCGGCGCCAGAGGCGCCGCCGGTGGCCCCGAGAAATCCGCGCGGGTCTGCGCACGTGCTCTGGTGCGGCGCCTCGCCTTGGGCAGGGGGGGGGAGAGGAGGAGGAGGAGGAGGAGGAGGAGGAGGAGGAGGAGGAGGAGGAGAAGGAGGAGGAGGAGAAGGAGGAGAGGAGGAGGAGGGGGAGGGGAGGAGGAGAAGGAGGAGGAGGGGAGAGGAGGAGGAGGAGGAGGAGGAGAGGAGGAGGAGGAGGAGGAGGAGGGGGAGGGGAAGGAGGGTGGGGGGAGGAGGAAGGGTGCCTGGCTCCGGACCACTGCTTAACGTGACTGCTTGCAACCGTGCGTCTTGGGGGGGAGGCTCCACCTGCTTGGAACAGACGCCAGAAGCACCCAAGATCTACTCCATGGTTGGGGGGGGAGGGGGTGCGCGGGCCCGTGCCGATCGGCAAAACAGTGAATAAGAAAACGATCGTCCTCCGAAAGCGTGCTTATGCCGAGTGCGCCACCGTGCCTCGAGGCACTAGTTGGAGTGTCCTCAGGCCAAATGAGCCCGCAGCCCTCAGTCCTCAGGAGCTGCGAAGAGGCCCAGATCCTTGGGCTCGAAATAATGAGGGGACGATCGATGCTGGGGGAGAAAGGTGCCCTTATCGGGCCTTAGAGGCCCCCTTTGGGCCCCTCAAGGGTCCCTTTAGGGGCCCAAGAGGGCCCCTTTCTGCAGCCCTCCGAGACTCCACATTCACGGAGTCTCCAGGGCGTGCTGCGTGTCCCCAGATATGCGTCCAACAGGCCTCTGGCCCAGAACCTAGGCACGGCGGCGGGATGGCTCGATGTGACTAGACATCTGCCACTCGAAATACATGGCTCTAGGTGGGGGGTCTTCTTGTGCCCTGACCTTCCACGAGTGCCACAATCAACGCATCCAGGCCTGTGGACCTGGGCCGGCACAGAAACGGAAAGAGCGCTTCAGAAACAGAAACCGAAATTACTCACACCACCGTTCGTACTGGGAGCCTTGGCGTTGAGAGCTTGTTACGTCACCCCTCGCTCTTGGGAGCCTTGGTGTTCAGAGATTGTTGCGTTGCCGCCCGTTCCTGAGCATTGGCTGGGCCTTGGTGTCAGGAACTTGTTACGTCACCGCTCTCTGCTGGGAGCCTTGGTCTTATCAACTTGTTTACGTCACCGTTCGCTCTTGGAAGCCTTGGTGTGAAGAGCTTTTTGCGTTACCGATCGCTCTTTATTTGGCGTCTCTGGGCCTTCTTGGGAGTCCTATTGGGGCCCTTTTGGAACCCTTTTGGGGGCCTCTTGGGGGCCTCTTGGGGCTTCTTCCTGGGAGCTTCTTGGGGCGAAAGGCTAGACTTTTCGGTTCGTGGTCCCCCTCTTGGGGCCGTCTTAGGGCCCTCTTGGGCCGTCTTGGGCGCCTCTTGGGCCGTCTTGGGGCATTCTTGGGCCGTTTTGGGGGGCTCGTGGGAGCCTCTTGGGCCGTCTTTGGGGCCTCTTGGGCCGTCGTCAACACCGTGAAAGCCGAAAAGCCGTATATGTCAAAAATGTATGTTTTCCTATGGGGAATCACTGATTTTGGCCTCCTGGGGCATCTTGGGGGGTTTCTTGGGGGCCTCTTAGGGCCTCCTGGGAGCTTCTTGGGGCGAAAAGCTAGACTTGTCGGTTCGTGGTCCCACTCTTGGGGCCGTCTTGGGGCCCTCTTGGGCCGTCTTGGGCGCCCCTTGGGCCGTCTTGGGGCCCTCTCGGGCCGTTTTGAGAGCCTCTTGGGAGCCTATTGGGCCGTCGTGGGGCAGTTTTGGGGGCCTCTTGGGCCGTCGTCGACGCCGTGGAGGCCGAAAAGACGCGTATGCTCAATGTGTACGTTTTCCAACGGGAAATCAATGCGTTTGGCCTCCTGGGGCCCTCTTGTCTTGGGACGCCCCTTGGGCGCCTCTTGGGGCGTCTTGGAGGCCTCTTGGGCCGTCTTGGGCGGTCTTGGGCTCTCTTGGAGCGCTCTTGGGCCGTCTTGGAGGTATCGTGGGCTGTCTTGGACCCCTCTTGGATCGTCTTGAGCGCCCAAGACGGCCCCAGAAGCGCCCAAGAGGCCTCCAAGACGCCCCGAGCGGCCATTAGACCGCATCCCTCTGGCCCTCCCTCCTCCCCTGGACCCCTCCCTAAAGCGCTTCGCCCAAACACAACGTCATCACTCGTACCTCGCTCTTCCCGTTACCTGGGCCGGTACGGGAACGGAAAGAGCGCTTCAGCAACCTGCCCGAGATGGCTCATGGCACCCTTCGCTCTTGGGAGCCTTGGTGGTAAGAGCTCGTTGCGTCACCGCTCGTTCTTGGGAGCCTTGCTGGTAAGCGCGTGTTACGTCACCGCTCTCTTTTTGGAGCCTTGCTGGGAAGAGCTTGTTGCGTCACCGCTCTCTGTTCAGAGTCCTCGCGCCCAGAGATGCTTACGTTGCCGCTTGCTCTTGGGAGCCTTGGTGGTATGAGCTTGTTGCGTCACCGCTCGTTCTTGGGAGCCTGGCTGGTAAGCAAGTGTTGCTTCACCGCTCTCTTTTAGGAGCCTTGCTGGGAAGAGCTTGTTGCGTCACCGCTCTCTGTTCAGAGTTCTCGTGCCCAGGGATGCATACGTTGCCGCTCGCTCTTGGGAGCCTTGGTGGTAGGAGCTTGTTGCGTTACCGCTCGCTCTTGGGAGCCTTGCTGGTAAGCGCGCGCTGCGTCATCGCTCTCTGTTGGGGGCTTCGCTGTGAAGAGCTTGTTGCGTCACCGCTCTCTGTTCAAAGTCCTCGTGCCCAGAGATGCTTACGTTGCCGCTCGCTCTTGGGAGCCTTGGTGGTAAGAGCTTGTTGCGTCACCGCTCGTTCTTGGGAGCCTAACTGGTAAGCGCGTGTTACGTCATCGCTCTCTGTTGGGGGCTTTGCTGGGAAGAGCTTGCTGCGTCACCGCTCTCTGTTCAGAGTCCTCGCGCCCAGAGATGCTTACGTTGCCGCTCGCTCTTGGGAGCCTTGGTGGTAAGAGCTTGGTGCGTCACCGCTCGTTCTTGGGAGCCTTGCTGGTAAGCGCGTGCTACGTCACCACTTTCAGTTCTCCTCCTCCTCCTCCTGCTTTTATGAGTATTATCATGATTGCTATCAATAATATTATTCGTAGTATCAGTATTGTTAGAATTGTTAGTATTGTTACTCTTGCTGTCAGCATCAGTATTGAAACTGCGCTTACTATTAGTGTTATTGCACTTACAAAAAAGTAGCATGACTATTAACATCACTATCCTTACCTTTACGACCACCCTTCGGGTGATAAGGAGGTTCGGGGGGGGAGGAACCAACGTCTCACTCGATCGGTCTCACTATCGATCTCACTATCGATCTCAGTATCGGTCTCGCTCGATCGATCTCCCTCGATCGATCTCACAATCGATCTCACTCGATCTATCTCACAATTGATCTGACTATCGATCTCACAATCGATCTCACAATCGATCTCACAATCGGTATCACATGTCTGGGGGCCCTCTTGGACTGTTTTTTGCCCCTTTGGGGCGCCTCTGGGGCCGTCTTGAGACGATCTTTGGGGCCTCTTGGGCCATTCTGGGACTGAAAAGGGGAGAACCCGAAACACCTGCAACAACCCTCGGGCCCTCTCGGAGGCCCTCTTCTGGAGGGCATCTGGAACCGTCTCGAGACTCTCTTGGACCGTCTGGAGGCCATCTGGAGGCCCTCTGAAGCCGTTTTGGGGCCCTCTTGGGCCGTCTTGGGGCCCTCTGGCCAGTTCACCAAATACATACAAAGAAACAGGCCATGGGAGCCGCCTGGGAGCCGCTTCACTCGACAACAAATACGAAGGACAACGGGCCATTAGACCACCCTACGCGCGCCTCGCCCCTCCCCTGGACCCCTCCGTGGAAGGCTTCGCCCCAACTCAACGTACATCACTCGAACCTCGCTCTTTCCGTTACTTGTCCAAGCTGCTTACGACCTCGGCAAGAATTTACAAGGTTAGACTAAGGGGCCGACATAGAAGGCCTTAGGCTCACAGGTCCTGATGCTACTTTTAAGCCCCCCTGAAGGTCGGAGTAGAAGACTCACGACACCTACAAGAGGGCCCACGATTGTCCCAATACGACTCACAATGGCCTCAAGACGGGCCTATGAAGCCCCGAAGGCGCCCAAACAAGGCTCCAAGAGGTCCCCCAGGAGAGCCTCGAGAAACACAAATCAGCAGTTTCCCGTATTTGTTTCAGTGATGTTCGGACTCCCCCCTCTTCATCCGAGACGGCCGATGAGGCACCCAAGATCACCCCAAGGCGGCCCAAGAGGGCCGCAAGACGGCCCAATATGTCCCCCAGACAACACTAATACGACCCTACCGGGCCCCAAGAGATCCCCGAGAAGGCCCAGAGATGCGCCCTCAGACGGCCCTGGAGGGCCCCAAGGTGACCCGAAAGAGCCCCAATATAACCCCGAGACGGCACGAAGGGCCCCTCCCTGGTGCTTCCCCCAGCGGCTTCCCCGCCGGTCCAGACCCCCGCCGTCATGATTTGTTCATGGCATGTCCCCCAGCGGTCTGGACCCCTTCCCCGGAACCGGAACCAGTCCCGAAGGCCAGTCATGGCCTCCAGAGGTCAAAAACGGAGAGACGCATCCAGTCGTGAACTTCTTCACGACACGAGGGGGTCTCGGGGTGGGGAGACACGCGGCGCCCGACGTTTCACAGCACGGGCGCTTCCAACAGGCAGGGGCCAGCCGGCGATGGGTGCCTCGCCTTCGGCACGAGGGAGCCTCGCCGTCGCTCGGACGTCCATTCCCTCTGCACTTGTTCGGTCTCGTGCGTGTGTCTGTTGGACCCCTGAGGAGGGGGAGGAGGAGGAGGAGGAGGAGGAGGAGGAGGAGGAGGAGGAGGAGAAGGAGGAGGAGGAGGAGGAGGAGGGTCTCCGTGTCCATTCCCTGTGCATTTTTCACGCTTCTCGTGGCCGAGGCTGCTCCTCGACGGGTCTCGCCGAGTAAAAAGCTGCGCACGTCGGGGCGGTGCCCAGGAGCAGGAGCAGGAGGACGAGGGCGGAGCCGCGCCCGCCAGTCGGGGCCTTCCTCCCTGCTCCCTCCTCCCTCCTCCCTCTCCCTCCTCCCTCCTCCTCCTCCATCCTCCCTCCCTCCTCCCTCCCTCCTCCCTCCTCCCTCCTCCCTCCTCCCTCCTCCCTCCTCCTCCGCCCTCCTCCCTCCTCCCTCCCTTCTCCCTCCTCCCTCCCCCCCCCCCTGCCTCGCGGAGGGGAGGGGGAGGGTGGTGCAGGGGCGAGGTCGGCTCCGCTGGGCGCCGCCGCTGCCCCGATGCGCGCAGCACGCAACGCGTGCTGCTCTTGAAGTGGAGCTCAGCACGCGGGCCGAACACGCAGGCCTGGCGCGATGCGCTCGCCAGAGCGTGGGGCCCAGACGCCGAGCCAGCACGCAACGCGCTGGCGAGGACGTCTTGAGCACGGCACGTGTTGCGCTTCAACACGGGCGTGGCAGCTGAGGCTGGGCGCTGCGAGGAGGGGGGCAAAAGGCTGGGGGGGGGCCGGCCCAGTGCCCCCCCTGCCTTCCAGGAAGCCCTCTCGGAAGCCCAGGAGGGGCAGGAGCCTGCTTTGGAGCCCCCCGCCTTCTCGGAGTGCCGCCCTCCTCTCCCCCTGCCCTCCCTTCGCGCGCCGCCAGGAGGCCAGGAATCGGATTGGTCAAGGGCTGGGTGCGCCCCCTAGAGGAGGCTTCCCAAAGGGTGTCCGAGTAGATGGGGTCGGAGGATCGCGCCGCATCGTCGATGCATGAACGATGCGTCGGCGATGCATCGGGCCGAGTCGATGCGGCGCGATCCTTCGACCCCATCTGCCCTGACCCTGTCTGGGAGGCCTGGACCTAAGCGCGCCCCAGTCGAGGCCTAGAAGGCCGCCCTTGCCCCGAGGAGCCCCAGGAGCGGTGCGGAGAGCAGGGGGCCCCCCCCCTCGGCCGAGACCCCACCTGCCCCCCCCCCCCCCCCGGCGAAGGTCTGTGCAGCGGAAGCCTCCCGCATGTCCACGCCGACCCACTCCAGGTCCTCGAGGGGAGGAGAAACAGCAGAAGCATTACACTTCTCGGAGCTCCGCGCGGCTTCCTTGGATCGGCCGTTGGCCCGTCCCCCCTCCCTGGCGAGTGGAGCGTGCCAGATACGGCGCCAGAGGCGCCCCGCGGGGCCCCGCGCCGCGCGCGGAGCTCTAACTAACTTCCCAAGCAAGCAGCCCTAAGACCAGCAAAAGTGAAAAAGCGGTCGAGACGTAGGAGGTCGGCTGATGAAACGTGCCGTCGGCCGGGACAGGGCGGAAAGCATGGCTAGGCGCGCCTCATCGTGTTTCTGACAAGGCTCGCGGCCGTCCGGACCAGGACCCGTCACTGAAGCGAGAGCACGGCTCCTGCATAAGTTGCGGGGAGGGCTCATGCAAGAAGGGCTGCCGGACCAGGCGGTCTAGGGCTCCCCAGCCGCCTCCAGCGAAACGCTACGCTGTGCTTCTTTCGGGAGCGGCCAAGAGGGGGGTGTCCAAGAGTGGGGGGTGCAAATCATGACCGGCGGCATGTGCGCGGCCCAGCGGGGGGGCCGGGGACGTAATGAAACAAGAAGAGGCGCCCTGAGATCTGGGGAAATATCATGGCCCCCGCCATGATCTCCCCCCCCCCCTAGTCATCACCCCCCTCTTTGCCGCCCCCGATTCTTCTTCGAATCCTCGCGTGCGCTGAGCAGCCGGGCCGAGCAGTCTGCCATGTCGACGCCGACCTCAGCCACGCGCACGGGCCCGCCGGCGCGGGCGACCCCCGCGCGCGACAGCGCCCAGAGCAGCACGTCGGCCCGGTGCAGCACGGCGGCCTCGAGCCCCGCGTCGGCGGCGTCGCGGTGGAACTGCGCGCGGGCCACGCGGCTGGTGCCAAAGCGCGCCGCCTCCTCGCCCAGGAAGAGGGCGGCCTCGACGTGGGCCTCGAAGGTCACGAGGGTCAGCTCCGCGACCTCGCGGGCGGGAGGCGTCCAATGTCCGCATCCATGGCCTCGCGTGCCGGGCCCCTGGGCCGCGGCGCCGTGGGCCATTGGGCGCATCCACGTTGCCGCGCCCCAGAGTCCACACCGCGAGGGCGTGGATGTGGATATGGTCGCCGCTCGTGGACCGAGATGCCGCGGTCGATGCTGCACTTGCCCGCGGCCAGCGCGGTGAGCGGCACGAGCAACTCCTGCGGCAGGGCCTCCCGGACCACGTCCGCGGCCGTGGTGCCGAGGGCGGACACGGTGTGGCCCTCCACGTGCGGCAGCGCACGCGCCGCGCCGCGGAGCCGCCGCAGCAGCAGCTGCCACCCCGCGCCCCAGGCGTCCAGCAGCTCTTTGCCGCGCCCGGTGGCGCACCAGACGCGCGCGGTCAACGCGAGGTCGGCGATCGCCACCACGGCGCTGCTCATCAGCACGGCCCACGCGGGGGCCCCCGACTCCTCGAGCCGGCGGGACCGATTGAACATCCGCGCCTGTTGTTCGTCGCCGCCGAGGCTGAGGGGCACAGGCATCGACGGGCGTGTCCACGTGGCTGGCCCGTCGCCGCCGCCCTCCAGCGCCTCCCTGGCCACGGCGAGGTACCTGAGCGTCCAATGCACTCCCGCACCCTCTGAAACTGGCGTTCCCACGTCCGCGCCGCTTCGCCCCCACTCCCCCCCACCCCTGGCTGCGCCAGATCCCAGGCAGAGCCAACGCTCTCAGGATTTCTGCCAATGCGGGATCCCCGGAAGTCCGGACCCTTTCCCCAGGCCCAGTCTTTCATCATGGGCGGGTGGTCGTTGCTGTTGGCGGTCCCACGGCCCAGCGAGGGCTCCCAAAGGCGGAGGCAGAGCCAACTGGAGGCCCAGACCAGTGCTCCCTCGGCAGCCCAGGCCAACGGGCGTTCCCCGCCGCCCGCCGCACCGTCGCTGCAGCGGGCGCCAGTCCTCGGGCGTGGCCGGCAACGCCGTGCGCCGCCACTCCTCGGGCGACTCCAGCGCTCCAAAGCGGCACGCAGGTCGGGCACCGGGCCCCGCTGGTCGGGGGACGTCAACCGATCACCTGACCAAGCCCGGCCGGGCAAATCCTAAGGCCCAGGATCGGCGTATGTATGTATGTATGTATGTATATACATATGTTTATATCTACATATGTGTGTGTACATTTGCACATATGCATATATACAAACATATACACATACGTATACATATCCACATACCTATACATATGCATACACCGATATACACATATACATATACGTATACACATACATATGCATATACACAAACATATACACACGCGCGCTTAGCTTGCAGCGCAGTCCAAGTCACCTTACTGGACTGGGCGATGATGGACATTGTGCCACGTGGCGGACCCATGGTAGATTATGGGGGGACGCCCGAGAACTCCTAACAGCCTGGAACAACCATGCTGAGAGTCTCTTCGGATGCCTTCGAGGATTTTGTTTGGAGGGTTTGGGGGGGTTCTGTGGGTGGGGTCTCTTCGGTTGTTGGTGGGGGTTTCCTTGTGATCTCTTGGGACTTCTTGGGCACGCCTCGGAGGCCGCCCCGGAGCTCTTGGCGTCTGGTTTCGAGATGTCAAATTGGGTCGGCATGAAACAATGAATAGGATGGATTTTCATTATTTCAAGCCGGGCCTCCTCCCATCCAGTGTGGCAAGATGTTGGGTGCGGGCGGCGGAGGGAGGAAGGAGTAAAAGAGGTATAGGGATGAGGGAGAGGGGAGGCGGAAACGCATACGGGATGCGGAGAGAGGAAGGCGTGAAGGAGAGACGATGAAGAGGGAGGAAGGACAATGACGCAGCGGGGAGGAGGGAGGAGGAGAGGGAGCAGAACAACGGGGAACGGGAGACGGAGGAGAACCATAATCTTTTTCCGTCGCCAGCGAGGCAGAGGCAAGCCGCATGCGCGCCCGAGTGACGCCATGGCACGCAGTCATGAACTGGCCCGCGTGCAGGACGAGGGAGGAAGGAAGGCGAACGGCCACGGGCGGGAGGGACGGGGGGGCCCGTAGGGCCCGCTCACGCGGCGTGGCAGCGCTGAAGGGTTGGGGGCGGCCTGGCCGAGGTCCACGCTGACAGCGGCTGCGGTGCGGCGTCGCAGTGCACCCAAGGCGGGGGCCGCTTGGCCACAGTACGGGCCATGCCCGGGCAAGGAGGGGAGGCAGGCCGCTCCAGCTGAAGGTGAAGCATAGCCGAGGAGGGCGGCGGCGTGGAGCCAGCGACGTAATCCGCCAGCGCTGCAGCTGCTGTGCGATGCCCAGGCAATGGAGGTACGCGACTCCGCGGGTCGGGCGGTCAGAGCAGTCTGGATGCGGGGCGGGGTGGAGCGAGGCAGAAATGGAGGCGCCATTCGTAGCCAGTGCACGGCATCACAGCAGGAGCGCGCGTAGCCCGATGCGCGTGGCGCACGGGCTAGCCCTCTGAACGAAGGAATGAAAGGCCCAGGCGGCGACGGGCTGCGTGGGAAGGCGGGGCCGGTCCGCCATGGTTGAGGCCCGTGAGGGGAACGGCGACTGCGAACGGGGCAAGACCACTGGCGGCGCAGGGGCTGTAGCGCGCGCGCCTTGAGGCAAGACGCGCCGGGGGGCGGGCTGCCCGCGGCTGGTGCACGGCAGCGCGGTTGGGGGCGGCAGGGGAAACCGCCGGCGGCGGCCAGAGCGGCAAACCGGGATGAACCGCAACAACGGCGATCACCCAGTGGGCAGCGGTCGCTGCAGGCAAGGGTGGAGCCTCTGCCGACTGCACGGGGCGCGCGCGCAGGCCCGGGCGGGGTCGGCCCAGCTACGTTCGCTCTGCGAAGGGCGGGGGGGGCCGGAGGCAGGGCGGAGCGGGGGAGGAGCTCCATGCCCCAGCGGCGCCCAGTGCCCCGGGGCGCGGGGCCGCCGCTCCAGGGGGCCCCGCGGCCCCCAGCCACCCACCGCCGATCAAAGCGGCGGCGGGGGTCCCGTGGGAGAGGGGAGGAGGCCGTAAGGACGGGCAGGGGGGGGAGATTTTTTTTCCACAGCGCGCGGCAGCCCACACCGTGTCGCGCACGGCCGACGGCGCGGCCGCGGCGCCCCGCCCGCGCGGGCGACGGGCGAGACCGCCCGCGCGCGACGAGGAAAAGGACCCGCCCCACGGGCAGGCGGGAGGCCTCAACCGAACGGAGCCGCCCCCACGGGGGAGGCCGAAACGGAAGGGCCACCCGCGCGCCCACGGGGCAGGGCAAAAAAAGGACCCGGACCCCGGGACCCACGAAACGACGACGACGACGACGACAACGACAACGACACGACACGACGTGGAGAAGGACCGCCAGTCCCGCCCCAAGGCGGCGAGTGCGGGGAGTGAACTCCTGCACCGCCCTGGGGGAGGTCACGGGACCTGGCAGCCCCCCGGGAAGGAACGCCCGGGCGCGGGGGCTTGGGCCCCGAAGGCCCAGTGCCCCCCGCCTGCACCAGGGGGCACTTTGGCCCGACACCCCGCTTACGGGGGTGCCCCTCCGGGGCGGGCAGGGGGGGAGGAGGAGGAGGAGGAGGAGGAGGAGGAGGAGGAGGAGGAGGAGGAGGAGGAGGAGGGGCGGGAGGAGGAGGAGGAGGAGGAGGAGGAGGAGGAAGAGGAGGAGGGGGAGGAGGAGGAGAAGGAGGAGGAAGGGGTGATGCGACAATGCGACGGCGAGGAGAACGGCGATAATAAGATGAGAGCACCGTTGGCGCCATCTGTCCCCGAGTGTTTTGATGAATGTGGCATCGGCGAGACGCACGACGTGCGCCAGCTGAAGCGATTGAGCAGGCGCACGGGGCTGGGCGCCCAGCCACGGGCCTGCGAGCGCCACGGCTCATGGATGGCCCAGACGTGGGCTCGATGGCATGAGCCGCCTTCTTCACTGCCTCCCCCCCGCCACCCGCCCACTCCCCGCGGTGCCCAGCCCCGCTCCCTTCCCCTTAGGTGCAGCCACGGGCCTACAGCGGCCTTCATGCTGCTGCTTAAAAATTCAGTGCAGCACTCGAGAGAATCCCCCCGCTCAAGAGCAGCTCAGACATTCGAGCGGCCCCCGCGGCGGAGGGCCTACCTTCTTGATGCCGTTCTTCTTCTTCAGAGCCGCGATCGCCGCCCTCTCGGGGGCGAGCCAATCGCTGCTGAAACAAATCGGAATGCGCGAAAGCTCAGCTTGACCCTCCTTCTTGCGGGCCCCCTTGATTCTGCAATGCCTGATCTGCTCAGCCAGCTCGCTGAGGTCGCACTGCGGCGCCGTGTTCTTCCAGAAATCCTCGATCTCACCCTTCGAACTCTCGGGCAGGTCTGGCACTCCATGCGCTGCCTTGATCATCGCTTTGAAGACGTGCAGGTACGGAGGGCCGAGGATGTCGTGGCCGCCAGCACTTCCTCCGCCCGACTCCTTGCTGCGCTCGGCCTGCTCGTGGTAGTGGCGCCCCGCCGCTTTCGTGGCGCGTGTTATCGTGGGCGCCGACGGGATAAGAAACGGTGATGCGCTGCCGCAATGAGGTCTCTCAGATCTGCCGTCTGAATCGAAGCGAGCGCGGCCGGGACCTTGACCATGCTCTCGATAAGCTGCGCCCTGCTGCCTCCGCCGACCTCGGCGCCAAGCTCCGTGAGCATCTTCTTCCTGCCCCCCGCCCGGTTATCCCCGCCGCTTCTCATTAGAGCCCGCTTCGGCTCCTCGAGAGACATGCTGATGTACTGGAGCGTGGGAAACAGCGTGTTTGCGTCGATCCCCAAGACCTCGAGCCGCATAGTCACTGAACGGACAATCCATGGATGCAGGCTGCACAACTGGCCCAAGATACCCCACTCGCGTCGCGCGATTCGGCCGAGATCTCCTCGCGATCACATGGCGGTATACTGCTTGATGGCACGAAAACACATCTCCACAATGCGGGCACTGCTTGGTTACCACTATCGAAGCGTATACATCCGTCCTCCTGCGCGCCCGTTGGACGTGGGTTGACGACGCTCTACTCGACGAAAAGACCGCCGAACAGCACTCCCCAGGGTCCGTGGTCGAGTCAAGAAGCGCTTCCCCTGCCCATCACCCCATCCACTTCGAACGTGCTCATTATCTCCAGCGCGCTCTTCAGGGGGCTTCTGAACATCCCGGGCCCTCAGGGGCCCGCGTCAACCTTCTGGCAATCGCGCCTCGCCTCCGTCTCGCATACTGAGTCGCTGAGATACGCATGCGCATCAGTTTCAGGATTCGCATCATGCGATGTGCGAAGCTCCGACAGGAAGCACCCTGCATCCTCAACCTCCAGGAGCGCCCCCAGGGCCACCAACACCCTGAGAGCCCAAGGGTTCGCCCTCACGGTGAGCCCCCCGTCCTCCGTCATCGCCCCCTCCTTCTCCCAACTCATGCTTTCAAAGTGTGCCACAATCCACTGCCTATGCCGATGCGGATGTCTCGAAGGAGCCTGCAAACCTCATGCGAACACAGCTTCCAATATTTTCTGACACGCTCGTTCGACCACGAAGAGTGCATCCCCTCATTCTCAGTGCGCGTTAATCCCTTCAATGCGTTGCGCGCCAGCATGTCTACAACGCGCTGCAACTCCGAAAGCTGCCGTGTCGACGGCAAATGCGCCTCGTGGTCCTGCGCAGGTGCGCCCACTACGCGCGATGATAGCATTGAGCGTTTCAGACGAAACGGGAAACCCTTTAAATGCCAGAACCCCCCCGGGAGTAAAAAGCTTTGACGACGGTCAGCTTGCGGGCCCGCAGCTCCGGAGCAAAAGCCTGGGGGGGCCTGGGGTCCGCTGCAAATTGCCCCCCCATAGGTGCCGAACTTGGCGGCAAATCTCACCAGGGACGTTCAGACTCCCCATGCGAACATCGTGAAAATCCACGCGGGCGCGCCCGGCGCGAGCAGGCGCAACAAACGCATTTGCTTCGTGGTACTCTGTGCATAACTGTCTACTGCCATCGCTTCCGACAAGAGATCAGAAGCCCCCCGAACTCACGCTACAAGTGGAGCTGCCCGCTCCTTGGGCCTGCCTAGAGAGGGGTGCTCGAGATCATCGG